ACCATATCTCGCCTCTTGCCAAAATGTTGCGTGTTCTTTTTCCTCTTCACAAAATGACCCTTTTCACTTTACTTATTTGAAAGTGACACTTGCTGGCGGGCTTGACCGTTTGTTCCACTGCGGAACGATAATCATAAACTGGTACTTCTGTACCTAATTTATGAACAGTTGCGTGTGCCGCTATCATAATCTCATATTCGTTTGGATCCACTATTGTTTCCAGTTTACGTATTTGAGGTTCTGTTAGTGCAAAAATACGGTTAGCTGGCAGAAATTAATGTCCAGTAACTGGAAATATAATTTCGATAGTTTTTAATGTCGGTGGAGCCTCTCCGAGCCATTTACTTGCCATGCTGATGAGAAATGAATTTTTATTTAGGCCTCCGCATCCGTCCGCCATTAATCGAATAGTATTGTAATAGTAGTGGTACGTCGCAGGGTGTTCCTTCTTGGTGTTCGTACCGGATCTTCCCCCTCGGTGTTCGTACGGGATCTTCCCCCTCGGTGTTCGTACGGGGTCACCACTGTGGCCGTGGAAGGAAAAGGGGAGATCTCCCGCCGGGCACTCCGAGTGATAGTTCGGAGAAGTGCTATATATACTGTCTATGATTCGGAATGTTGATAGCGTGATTTAAGCTTCGGTGTATTTCGCTTGTGGCGCGACGACAGCGCCGCTACATCACCCCCCTGCTCAGACCGGAGGTCGATAGTGCAGCCTCGTTGCCGACGAATGTGCAAGTGCCAGGAGATTGCCTTGTAGTCTGCGGTGAGTCGAGAAGAAGGCAAGTAATCTGCGAGAGTGCTGTGAAGCAGAGGCGAGCAGTAAGGCTCAGAGCCGTGCCGAACACTGTATGGCGCAGAGAGTAGCTGGAAGGAACAGGAAGCATTATTATTCCAGTGCTGCGATGAACCTTGTGAAGCTAGATGGCTTGCAGGATATGAAGACTGCAGTTTATATCTGCTCGGGAGCGAATGGGTGGGGTATTCTATGACGATTGATGAAGCTTGAAGTTTCCGAAGGTTGTTTGGTTGCGTGTGTTCAGATCACGTCGGGGTCACCACTGTAATAGTAGTGGTACGTCGCAGGGTGTTCCTTCTTGGTGTTCGTACCGGATCTTCCCCCTCGGTGTTCGTACGGGGTCATCACTGTGGCCGTGGAAGGAAAAGGGGAGATCTCCCGCCGGGCAAGGTGTTCTGCCCGGGGAGCGGCCGACACTCCGAGTGATAGTTCGGAGAAGTTCTATATATACTGTCTATGATTCGGAATGTTAATGGCGTGATTTAAGCTTCGGTGTATTTAGCTTGTGGCGCGACGACAGCGCCGCTACAGTATTTATATTTTCAGTGTGTATTGAATTTAAACAGTAGTATCACTGCAGATTTCATTAGAGGATTTAGATGTGACATCTTCAGTCCAAATATATGCCATGACATTTTCCTTTTTAGGTTTTGAGTGTGAAGAACCTATTACTGCTGTAAAGTTGTATAAATAAAGTTGCCTAGAGTAATAAGTAGATTGATCCGCCAACTTTGGCAATAGTAAATTCTTCAGCCAATCAAAGCTGATGGTGACCAAGCCGTCTTTCTTTTGTCTAAGTTTATCAAAGAACGCCTTGGCTCTTAGTTTGTGGATTTGTAGCTAAATCATCAGTTTTTGTTTCTTAACTTTACATTTTTCAAACTTTATTTGTTCCTGCAGTTGTAAGCAGGTTGAAAAAACATCTTTTCGGGGTGTTACGAATCCAATGTTGAAGTTACGTTTGCTACTGTCTTTTCACTGGAAATCCTAATTTGGCAATTTTAAGAAGCCACAGTTACAATCATAATTGTAGTGACGGTTCTGAGGATAACATTTTGCAATCTGAAATACACGCATCAATGTTTCCATCAATGAAATTACTAAATTTAGAAGCAAAGGTCGAAATATCGGCTTAATTTGTTACGCCTGTAACACTTGTAGGACTGATTTTGTTCAGGTTGACCAACAATTTTAAATTATTTGGTAATCTTATCTTTGTCTCTCTTATTACAGCAACCAAATATGTTTTTCATCTTTCTTTTAAATCATCATTTGCTCTAGTATTGTTGGAAGCTGATAATAAGTGAAACTTGTATCCAAGTGCATACCTGATGTGTGCATCAAATATTTGTCAAATTCGAAATCAATTGCATTTTCTCTCGTTACCACATTCATGCGATTAGTAACGACAACTTTTTAAGCAGATTGGCATATAAATCTACTAGATCTTCGAACGTCAATAAAGCATTGGAATTCTTCGTTGGAAAAACTGCATTCACTTTACATACTTCATCCAGTATATAAAAAACGAATGTCAGAAATAATTGGTTATTCTTATCTTTATACATATTGGATAACATCTCTGCCGTGTAAAGCTTTGGTCTGGTGATCATGACGCACAACGCTGCGGTATGCGCCCCAACGCAGCGTCACGACGCAGCATTTACCGTCTCTGCGGAGAGGTGGTCAGTTGATTTTGCCGCAGCTACCAAGGTAGACGTGAACATGAACAATTTTTCTGTAATTTGTGCTTTGCTTGAAGAGAAGGAAGAAGAAGAATTTTTACTGCTCCTGAACATGTTTTTACAACGGAGGAGTGAAGGTTGTTACGAAACCTTAATAAAAAGGCATTTAATTGATTGTGAAGAAAAATTCATGGGTTACTTTCGGGTTTCAAGGGAGATCTTTAACAAGATTTTAATGGCCATAAAAAATGATATTAGTGACACACAGCCTAGAACCAGAAAACGGAATTTTGCTATTACGGCACAAGAAAAACTATTCTTAACGTTAAGGTAAGTTAAATGAATTTATTTCGGTAATTAAATAAAACAATTCATAATCACATTATTTTGTTTACTGGCAATATTGACTTTGTTTAAGTAACAAAATAAGGCGGTGAAACTAACGCCGCCACTACATTAAAAATAATAAATCGACGAGCAAATCGAAATTAAAAATGGAAAACAGTAACTCGGTATAACATCAAAGTATGTTGAATGATTGCTGTGTGGATGGTGTTTCTCGTTGCGAGTTGTATGCGTGGATTGGTTGCTGTGGTATGTTGAATGATTGCTGTGGTGATGGTGTTATCTAAAATTTTACCTATGCAATCACGTCTTGCCAACCACATTGTGGCACTGAGATGAGACAGTTTTAAAGGGTACTTGTCGTCATTTAACATTTAACAGTTCAGCATACTGAATCCCTTGTGGGAATATGAAAACCACGAGCAAGTTTCTCTAACAAGATAATCTAAATTTCTGGGTAATATTTCAGTTGCGTGCGATGCTTGCTAAATGCAAAGAATGACAAATAAATTTGTTTAAAATAATATGCTTACCAGCATCTTGTGTTCATTCTATTTGGTGAAATGAATTGTCGGCATTGTCTGTTTTAAAAAAGAATTCGAAAGTTGGTAAGACCAGTGAAAAACCTTTAGATAAACCTCTAGATTAATTTCGTGATATTAAAACTTCTAAAAAACCTCAAAGAACTCCAAAAACCCCTAGATTGAGGAAACACCTGTAGGTCTGGCAACACTGTTTATGCAGTATTAGGCGCACGGAACTTTTGTCTATGTGTGTGTGCCTCTTGTACATTACGGTAGTGTCGGTAATGACTTTTCGTTTTATTGGTGTTAGTATACTTATTTTCGAGAATTTTCAAAAGTTATCCGTGAAATGGACGCGAATCGGGCGATCGACGCGAAAGGACGAACTTACCCTATTTCCATTTTCGTGAAAACCTATCATATACGCTGCCGCGTAATTACCTACGCGTGCGGTGGCATCGCCGGTCATCAAAGGCGTTTCACAACTGTTAGGTCTTAAAACTGTGCTAATATAGCAATAGAATTGTAATTTCTTAGGTTGTGAAACATTAAATTACAAAACAAGGAAATATCTACGAGTAGTTTTGATTTGATATGCTAAGAAGTTTATGTAGGGGAAAATGTTATAAATTTTTTATATCTTTTATAAACTAAGATTGATATAGTAGTCCATATTATAGAAAAGAAACAAATATTAATGTATTTCCTATGTAGGTTAGAGAAAGAAAAGAAATGTAATATTAAGTGAACATATTTTTATACGACCAATTCCTTTACTAACAATAATTGCTCATAAAAATTGAGGCATATACAATCAAAGGTAGCTAAGTGCCTCTATGTCACATTTTCAGAAACCGCAAAAAAACGTTTTTCTAATTTATGAGTCAGGAGTTTACATACTCTCTCAGTTTTGATTTTAGAGTATGTGATTTAATATTGGTTTTGGCTACCTTTATCTGGGAGTACTAATTAATATAAGCCGAAAAAAAAAATCAAACGACTTAGCTATCTTTGATACCAACAGCTACGTTTACTGCTAACCTTAGCTGTGTTTGATTTTTACTCAAGTGAACCTAGCTGTCTTTGATAATGACGGCGCCATATTGACATCACAATGTTAGTGATGTTCCCAACAGATGTCGATAGCATGGACCAGTAATTAAAACACGTTTTCATGTAGATATTTAAAATGTTCATAAAACTTCAAATAATAATCAAAATCGTTATGAAACGAAAACACGTTTTCTCTTTTTAATCAGACTTTTCTTTTCCTTTGGGAACAATATTCTATTCTTATGAACTTAAATTTTTTCTTATTACTAAATTATTCTTATTACTTATTACTTTTAATCAGCTGTTTCTTTTCAACAAAAACAAAATGTTAAATTCTTAAATCCAATGATCAACGTCGTAACAATAAAACAACACTTTTTCTCTTTTTAATTAGACTTTTCTTTACTCTCATAAACAATATTCTAGTCTTATGAACTTAAACCTTTTCTTATTACTAAATCAGCTGTTTCTTTTTCAACAAAAACAAAATTTAAATTCTTAAATCCATATCATCCCTACATTCACAATAGTTTTCATTATCATCTTCCCCTCTTTCTGAATCCCCCTCTTGAATAACTGGCGATCTTATAATATTTACATAAAACTGACATACTGCATTGGTTTCCCATTCAGCGCCCAAATGCTTTTTAATAGTGCATCGACATCGGTTCTTTTTGCAAGATTCATGGGTGCTCCTAGTGGCACGGTGGATGGGAGAACCATATTGGTTATCATTCCAATTTTGCAAAGATTTACTGCTTTACCTATATCTGAATTAAAATGCAGTTCTCCACGAATAAACACATTTCCAACAGTTTTGGATCTCTTCATAATGAATCTTTTGCATTCACTTATTTTAAAAGGCCATCTCGCAGTTGATTTTAGGACATCTTTTGCGGCACTCCTGAAGTCTAACATTTGAATGTCACCCATTTTTGTAATGGTTGCATTTGTTGCAATGATGTCTACGTAATCTTTAGGTCGAATGATTACTTCTTGTTTTTTAAGAACTTTTTCAGTGTTTCCGAAAACCCGGTCTTGTGGCATGAAAGAATGCACAGATATGGGGAAAACGGCTTCAAGTTTTTTCAGAGACGTGTTGTTGAGAACCCATCTTGACAGCATACATGGCAATAGGCTATTCATCTTCTGCCCGCCACATCCATCACCTACAAGGCGAACAGTGTTAATCCCTTCAAAATTAGTTTTATTTAAACGCGCATCGTACACTGCAGAGGCTATCTGGTTGGATGTTTTTGGAAATTTGTTCTCTATCCACAAATATGCATAGCTTGTGTCTTTATTCAAGTGATCTTTAGAAGAACCCTGAACAATCGTAAAATTGTAGATATATTTGGCGACTGTTGTATGCGCTTTGGTCAGGTACTTTGGGTAGGGGATTATTTTTTTGACAGTCGACTGTCTTATTCGAATAAGAAAGTGATCATATCATCTGATTTTTCCTGAAGCAATTTAAAGATGCTTTTGCCCTGAGCTTGTGGACTCTTTTTTCGATCATGAGGTCTTTCTTTTTTTCTTGGTCGTTTTCCATTTTAATTTTCCCATCCAATTTAATGCATTTCGAGCAAACGTCTATTCTCGGATTACTGAATCCTAAATTGAAATCTTGGTTGAGTATTGCACGAAATTAAGACTTCTTTACAACAGACTGAGGATTTTCGGTTTTGAACATCTTATAAAGTTGTTTATACTCAAATCGCTGTGCAGATATTTTCGCTCTTGTGTTGCAGATCGACAGTAATGTGATTCTATGCATTTTAACTTAATAATAAACTGCCGAACTATATCTTTTTGCTCCTTATACTTGTTTATTTTATGTATTTCCTTCCCTGTTTTCCTTAGCAATCTGTCGCGTAAAACACAACTACTTTCATAACAAATTCCAGTCTATACTTTTTTATTTGCAAGGACTCAAAAAATGTTTGGCAGACAATCATAAATTTATTGTGACTGTTTAAAATCCTGTACTGGATATTAAAATCTCTTCTAAGCCTTTTATTTTTATTAGGACGCCTTCTTTTAATTTGTTTTATTTGACAGCACTTAAGAAGAAAAGCATCTTGACAGCTTTTTTCTTGAGGCCTAAATTGATTGGTAAAATATTAGAAGTTCATTCATTGTCAGGCTTGCACATTTTAGCGTTGGGTTTTTATGTGAACAGTTCACTCTTTGAGGTAAAGTAGTTGAGGAGTCTCCGTGAAAAAAAAAACATTTGATTAGGTACTAGGAACCTGTAAAGGACTTAACTCCTGACGAAAAAAGGGGTGTGTTATTAAACATACTACTAGTTTGTAGCTATTATTTTACTTAGTAGGTATAGTACTGGTACTTGTAGGTAGGTTTGCATACAACATAGTAAAAATTATAATAATACATCATTGGGAGATAAAATAAAATAAAAACGATAATAAATATTTTTAACACTCAAACTTCTCTATCTTAGCACAATTTTAGTTACAGTTAGGTAGTATGTATTAGCGTTATGGTACATAGCAATACACGCAAAAATAAATATTGCGAAAAATTAATTTAATTCGATTGCAATTATTTATCTTTATCTATACATTGTGTGGAGTGTAGACGCGAGGCACATCACTAACCTTTCTCTCTTAGCAATGTTTGCCTTCCAGTTTTCTTGGTTTCGTGTGCGTTTTCGACCTCTGCCAGTACTTTCCGGTTCTACAGGGACCTCCATAATAGTCGTTTCACAACAAATTTTGCACGAGAACTCACTAAAAACACTAATAATACTATAAAAAATATTAGGTGTGGCTAACGCGGTTGTATAGAAATCGCCATTTTGTTTTCGAGAATTCAAGCTTTGTGATTGGTTGTTTTATCACCTAGCTGTATTTGATTACGACCTAAGGTGACTTAGCTGTATTTGATCCCAAAATCAATTTTTGAACGAAATTTAAAGGGCTTTAGCTGATTTGTTTCTTACAATAATAAAATAAAGAGTTGCAACCAAAAATCACTAGATGGCTCCATACTTAGTTATTTTTTTGAAAGTTTGTCGCTTAGCTGCCTTTGATTCTATATGCCTCAATTGTATTTCCATTAAAAACAGATGAGCAAAGAGAAAAAAATGAGAAGTAGTCACGCGGTGGTTGCTCATGGTTTCGTGTTTTCTACTGATATGATTAGAAGCTTTGTTTATTTGACTTCAATGGTAACGGGCATTGTCCATAATAACAGATGGTGCAGACAAATTCTGTATCGATTTTTCAGGAAACCAATTATTTTTTAAATTGTCCTTATTGATATCATCTTGGTAACCCGCTTTCTCGCCTTTTGACTTGTAAAATAAAGCATTCAAGACAAAACCGTTTTCCGAACGAGCATGCACCACAATCCTATCACACTCCTGACAATCTTCTCTGACGTCTTTTGACACTCGTGCTTGACTTCCATTTTGCCAATATTTGTTTACGCTGTGAGAAATGTAGACATACGTTTTGTGAACAAAAACTAAATGCTGTTATAGTCCTGAGACACTTAGATCATCATACAAATACAACGATTTCAAATCTCTCACATATTATTATTTTCTAGGGATGAAACGATATATAATTGTGCCGATACGATAACGATTATTGTAGTAAATAATCGACGATATCGATACCGATACTTTTATCGGTGGCTTAGTAGAAATAGAAAAAAAAAACAAATAAATATTGAATAATTTTCTTTATTATGCATAAAAGTTACCTATATTTATCAGAGACTGAACCTTGAGAAGGAAAAATATCAAATCAAATTTCAATTCAAAATTCAAAGAAAACATTTATTTGTACAATATTATTCATATATAAAAAGTGTATCAAAATAGTTTAACTACAAGCCAGTCGTCGCGGCGACACGTTCTTGCACTTTGTTTATGTCGATAGTTAATCGCCCTGCTCACAATATTGTAACAATCTATGAACACGTTCTCCACTTTTAATAGCTTGGCGTAGTTAAAGGCACTCGAAATGTTAAAAAATCTAAAATATTTATGTCACAAAAACGTCACTGACAGTCTGAGTTTTTTCTTTTTGGAGTTTATGTCCTGGTATCTAGACCTTTAGGCTGGACAGTCTGGAGTTATAAGATAAGAGTGTTGCCAGTATCTGGTTTCAAAAAAAAATATTAAAATGCTATGTGAACACATTTAATCGACAGACTATTATATAACGACACTACGCTTAAAATGTAGCAATATTATTTTCAGGTGTTATGTTTTAGTAGTTGGTATCCGTTAGAAATCAAAGATTAGTAATTAAAAATGTACTTTGTATATCTTATTGCTTAAGTATTGTATTTGTTTTCGTTGTTAAGTAGATTAATATTTTTACGATCACGCCTCTAGTTACTTAAATCGTAGTGGCTTGTTATTGAGCTACTAACGTTTGATTGCAGAATGAATATGTACTTAGAGCATTTGTTATTAGATAAGTTATAATTATGTTTGTACAAAAAATTATGATATGTTTGTTAATGTAATAAATTGTAGCCATATTACCTAATTGTAATAAATTATTACTATTATTCTCATACAAATGTATTACTGAACTAATATATAAATAAACAGAAAGTGTGAAATAATTTTATTATTTTTTTATTTGTTATTAACTATTTTAATTTTTCCTGCTGTTACAAAATGTTTCGAACAGTTATCTGAATATAGATTTTTTCTAATTGCTAGAAAAACTAGGGATGGGTGGGACCCAGATATTTTATTCTTGTTATATTCTGTTTGTTTAGAACGATATGAATGAGATTTTAGTAAAATTCATGGTTCGTGTCTTGAATCTGTGACACCTAATGTACACCACATTCAAGACACGAACCATGAATTTTACTTGCAAATAGTGATGAGATCTAGCTACAGTATGATAATCCCAAAAATTCCTAGATTATATATTTATAGAACACCAACGGATCAACGTCAACAATGCTATTTGAAAACTACGTGGATAGAACTTTGGGCAGTAGTTTTAAGTCATAAGTCATCTTAAGATCAAAAGTGGAAGTCGTGGCCCATGGACACAAGATTGATGTAGAATTACTTCTGTTAGTGATTCCTTATAATTGAAATGCCTATTCACTAGTAAAATGGTCTCACTGTATGAAACACCCTATACAAACATGTACTCATAGTGTGTTTATTATAATACAAGCAAATTATCAAACTAGTATTTTATTTTGTAATTAGAATTGAATAATTATATCCTTGATAGCATTAACCTACACAGAACGTTCATAATTCATCACAAGTATAATTGATACGTGACTTTTAAAATCCTTTCCATATTTACAGTGCGATGATTTTGAAAGTCGGATTTTTAATTACGTACACGGAGAACGAGAGTATATAATCTTGTATAATCCACCAAAACCACAAAAAACCACGTATAAACTGTGTTTATGCTAAATATAATAATAAACAAGACCTTAGGTGCTGGCTACTGTCGATGGCTGAATTCCAATCAGAATGGTGGCTCCTGCAGAGTTGCCGACAACAGGACGAGTCGTAAACAAGATTTGTCCGCTTTTTTTATTAGATAGAGTGACAAACGAGCACACAGTCCACCTGATGGTAAGTGGATGCTGTGGCCCATGGACATCTACATCTGTCCTCGATTAAGAATCAAAATGCAGATGCGTTTAGTGGGACTAATGCATGTCTTTTCAGTAAAACGGGTCTCCGGTTCTCTACACTCACCATACGAAACACAGCAGCATTAAGCTACTATTTGACGCTGGTATTCTGTGAGAGCGTGGTCTTTCCCCGGTCGAGTCGACCCATTCGTGCTACAACTATATTACTAATATAACTGCAGCATGCTCTACCACGTAAAACTTGACCCCTGATCGGTCATAACTAGAAGAAAGGGTCAGGTTTTGAAGGAGGCGGGAGTTTGTTTGTGCAAACAAACAAAATAAATAATATATACGAGACTGTCTGTCCCGGCAGACGTTATTCTGCCCTTTCTGGTTGGTTACGCTATGAGTTTCAATTTTACACACTTATCTATAGACTTATTTAAGGTACCTACCTAATACGTATAAGTAAATCCAAAAAGAAAAACAACCTTTCTTTTTTAATCTTTCGTAACGAA